AGCTGTGCCTTTCATTGAATATTCAGCATGTAGCTATCCTCGACATCTATGTTGTGGTTTAATCACGTTATGGTTTTCGGTTTTTCAGCCACCCACCACGGTCATTTCGCTGACTCCAATTCGCCTCTTTAGGAAATCGTTATATTAGCCCCCATGCTAAATGGCTAACCGTAGGATGAAGGGGATTTTTGTCAGAATAAAAGCTTTAACTGCTGTGGCCACAGAATTTCTGTTTTTCAGTATAAAAGAGCATTTAACTTGACAGTATGGTTTAAACTACCATTATACCCATCAAAACATTTTTTAATTTCTAACAGTTCCCTCCTTTACACATCTATAAAGGTTGTATAATACCTGAATCAATGAGTTCTTCATCTTGAGACTTCGCATAGTACCATATCTCATATTACAACAGCATTTCTAAATGGTAATGTTCAAAGCTTTACTTTACAGAATACAATATTATTTGCTGTGCTCAAACCTAAAAGTTTTCCTTGGTAATAACTGTCTAGTGTTTGCATTCATATCATTCTTCAAAATAGCAGCATGCTTGGTATCAGCATTTCTTCCTCCCTTCTTTCAGAAACCGTTCTCCATACCACGCTCAGTGTTAGGCATTGTTTTCAAAGTGAAAGAACAACCATTTTAGATGCAATGGTTTTACAACATGAAATTACCATTTAGGAATAGTATCAAATAATCAATAAAGTTCAAATAAAATGGACTATCTTAGATGTGTAAATAATTGGAATAATAAAAATACTTCTATCGTTGGGAATAGTATGGAAGTAAATTGAAATGGGATTCACTCCATTTTACATTTTATTGCATTCTTCACATGATTTCATCATTTAGAATCAGCATCGGCTGGCATGTGATCGATCTCATCTCCGAAATCATATCATTTAAACTACTCATCATTTCATTCAATCTGTATTCGGGGCCTGGTCGTCTTGTTCTGCTGACGCATTTGTAAACTGTCTCCTCATTGAGAATGTCCCCTCACTCCTTTTCATACCATTGAAGGTATGAAGTAATATGTTCTCTGAAGGGGCGTTTACGTTCTGACTCTGGGTACGGCATCTAGACAGTATTTGTCGTGGAGAAGATTTTGGTCAGTTACAACAGTTGTAGAATTTCATCATAAAGTTCGCTACTCAGTAACTTTGGTGGTCTGTTCTGAATGCAGTGACTAAAGTTTCCGCGGAATGGTGTGAAAAAACTCGTGGATATCAATACTCATTATCATATTTATTTCCACTCTGGGCATCTTAAATAACATGCTAACGCCCTCTTACAGTGTGTGACCTTGGGTGCCCGAGCATGTGATAATTTACTTCGCTCTTATACCAAGGGATTTAAACACAGAAGTCTATCTTCTTAATGGTTGTCGTTTAATCAGGATTATCCACTTATGGCAGGATATGTTCCCTTTAAATCAACATCTCTAAAGTGGTCGGTATCCCTGATTAAATGGCGGTGTCTTTTAAAACTCAGTACTCTGGTGCGTGCGCTCCTGTGAACGTGCAAGTAAGATTTAAACATCTGCAGGGTGGGTGGGCCCTTCTCGCCTGACGATATGTTGTTAACGCAATATGACCATCACCATGGATGATCAGGCCCGCATGTTTGCTGCACTCACTTGTTTTAAAAAATTAAACTTTGCATCGCTCTGTTGCCAGTGTCTTTTTAGACTTAATCTGGACGAAACAATGTTATTTCTCTTAACAGTTATCCTGAGGTATAACCATGCTACAATGGAGAAATCAATACTTTAGATTTGAATACTATCTTGCTTGGTACTAGCTTACCTTTACATTTTCAATACAAATAAAGGATTTGTCTGCTTTTATAGAGTAGTCCTAAAACCTCCCTTTATCCTGTAGGGTCGTTATACTGTACAAATTACTCTCCCCAATTCACCATGAATAAAACTCTTTAAAGAATATTGTATATGATAAACGATTCTACCCTCAGTGTGTTTTTAGGGTTATTATAGTTTCTTTCTATACATACCAATTGATTATTCTGGCTATAAATATTTTTTCTTACGATTCTCGTTGCGTGAATAAGTGTGTTTATGTTAACTGCAGCTCCTCCGTTTTCCTTCTCTCCCCTTGGTTGTCAAGCCGCGCCCTACGTTTGCCGGACATGCCAACTCTCCGTCCTTTTTTCCTCGTCCAACTTCTCCTCAGTCATCGTCTTGGACTCTTCCGCTGCTAACTCTTTTCAGTGTCATATGCTTTGCATTTCTCTCTCCCTATTCAGGTGCTCTACTGGTGCATGGAGGCGTATTCCGCGTCTCATGTCCCACACTCTGCTGTGCACTCTTGCTGCGTCGCTTGGGACTTCATGTCGCTGTGGGGGGACCTGATGGGCTGTCTGCCTTTTTATGTCACCTGTAGTCTGGATTCCTCAATGTGGAGCATGGTGCAGCTCTGCTTCCTCTGTCTCGTTCGATGGAGGAGGGCGGAATCTTCGGTGGTGAAGGTGGCCGTGGTGTCTGCTTGAAGTTGGGTGGTCGGTGTGTTCGGTCTGACTGTGGGACGGGTGTAAAAGCCGAAACCCCTACTGATTTGACCACAGATGTATCATGGGATGACTATAGGATGCATCGAGCAAATACTATCCATGCTTG